TCCCTCTCCGTTTCCCTTGCCGAAAGAAGAAAATCCAAGCCCCGATGGGATCCATTATGTCCAGCGTCCTCGGCGGAGAAGCAGCGGCGGCGGAATCAACCGCCGGCGAGTCGTCTGGACCGTCGCGAGTCCTCGCCTTTCACTCGTCTCATCGATGGCAGTTCCACCACAACTCTTGCAAGCAATTGAATAAACTGGTAAAATCGTTTCATGCCTTTCCTTCTGCTCGCTTTCGACGCAACTCGGTCGGATCTAATTGCGAAAACCTAATTACACCTCAATAAATTTGCTGTTAGCAAAGGCTTTTTAGCTATTAGGTTCTCCGATCTGATTTGTTTTTGTAATTAATCTTGCGCAGGTGGTGGTGGATTTCTCCGCCACATGGTGTGGGCCGTGCAAGATGATGGAACCGTTCTTCAATGGATTGTCCGCTAAATACACTGACGTTGACTTTGTCAAAATCGATGTTGATGAACTCTCTGTACGTTTTCAATTCGACCAAATGATGTTGGTGTTTATGATTAATCCCCAATTCTTATACGAAAGTTGGATTTCTGGCGATTTCCGGGTCGATTTCCGGGCCGGGTTTAAAAACTATGTGATGAATATTTATATAATACTAAAAATTGGATGTGATTTTTTGTGGTTTAGGATGTGGCACGCGAGTATGAAGTTCAGGCCATGCCGACATTCGTATTACTAAAGCAAGGGAAAGTAGTCGAGAGGGTCATTGGAGCCAAGAAAGATGAGCTTGAGAATAAGATCCTCAAGCACAGGGAAGCTCCTAAATTTGCTGCCTAATCTAATTTGATGTCTTATTTTCGTGTCATTCGAAGTCTTATTTCCGTGCGACTTGAAATAGATACTGAGTTTACAGTGATGTGATGCTTGATGAACGTGTTGATATTGATACATTTTCGAGTAAAGCCCATTCAAAGAGTGATTATATATATATATGGGTTCTAGTGAAGGAATTCTACCAAAGATTGTTTGTCACGTCAGGCTTCATTCGGATTGGTGTATTTGCATTTGGGGATCATAATTTTGAGAACTAATCCGGTGAGAACTATCCGTCGATTGCGATTGAATATGGTTATATTGTATTGGCTTTCATTCACATCATCAAGCACCTATCATAATGCTGTTTTTTTGGCGGTGTCCTAGCAGAAGTTCATATTTATCTTTAATATTCAGGTCCTCTCAAGTCTCAAATTATTTCCTCGAAACTGATCATTTAATCCAAATCAGTTATTCTCTTAAGTTCAGAACTTTCTGTTGAGTTTTTTATTGCTTACTAAGTGGGTTCAGTCTTGTTCTCTGGGTAGAAAGTTGTTTTCAACATAATGTGCTGATTATATGGCTAAGACAAAATTTTCCAACAAAATTGTAGTTTACGGTACAAAATATGGTTAACTGACCGAAACCGAAACCGAAACTGAATATTTGGTTCGGTTTTCGGATTGTATCTTCTTAAAATTTTGGTTTTCGGTTCGGTTTGGATAAAAGTGTTCGGTTATCCGAATGAACCGAAAACTGATACTATAAGTTACAAAGGCCCATATATTACCCACCCCGCCAATGATTTTTAGGCACGTTGATATTCAAAAGTACGGAACAATCAAAAGGCAACACACCTACACAGATATCAAAAGTACGGAACAATCAAAATGCAACTCACCTACACAGAGGCCGATTTGCTAATTTGAAAATTATTTCCATCACCAATTTTGTTAAATTTTGTTTCAATTTTCATTGCTGTTAAAATTTAATCTAATATAATTATTATAATCGAGAGTGAGTATTTCCACACCAATCATTACATGTACTGTGATTTGTGTTATTCGGCTATAATTATATTTTTCAAAAATGGTAAACATGTTTTGAGCACTACTTTAGTGATTGATATTTTTTTTTTCTACAATACATTAGGTTCTCAATGCATTTTTTGAAACATGTGTTCCATGCATTTTAGTTTATTTTGGTGAAATTATTAAAAGCAACTAGCTATTGTTATGTTTGCAAATTGTAACTCACAAATTGTAGAATTTTTTTTTTTTTTTTTTGTCATTTCTCAATTTTATCGGATAATTGATAATCGAACCAATCGATTTTCAGTTTGAACCGAATCAAACCGTAAAATTCAATTTGGTTTTGGGTTTTAGGTTGGACAAACTGAAATTTCGGCCAGTCCTGATTGTTTTAATCGATTGAACAGACCTAGTTTACGAAAGTGATTTTATCCACTAGGAATCTTAGTCAAGCCTCCTACTCCACTGTATTTCTTCATTCAACCTTTTCTCTTTTGCATCCCAGCCACACTTAAGTCGTCTTTTGCCTCTTGAAGATCTTTCTTTTCTGGTGCAGTCTCCATATCCATCAATTGAATCTGTCCATCTGCTGGTAAATCAACATTGTCACTGTGAGTTGAGGTTGGTATAAGAGAAGCAATTTTGCTTTGCCCTTCAGTTTACTGTTGAGCCGTTGCCATTTGTTCTGTATTTCTTGCAATGCTAATCTCTTTGCTTTTTTGTGCCTGAACTCCACTCCCAATAGATTTGTATCTTGGTTCCTCAACTTGAATTCCTTGACTAGATTGATGTTCTTTGGTAGGTGAGTCAGTAGATTGACTTCCAGGGCTACACATTGAATTGAACCTGCCTCCTCCATGGTTGTCTACAGCCCTCACCCAATCACCATATTGACCCTCCTTGAGTTCCCCTTTATCAATACCTTCAATTATTTTGCCACAACCTCTTTCAAGATGACCAATGAGTCCACAATAGAAACAAGTGTGCACCAATTTTCCATATTGAAAACTTGCCCTCACCTGGGTAGTGGTTTGGTGACATCTACAATTACCAGAAGCCTTAAAAAACTTCCTCTCTGACCCCCTGCCTTGCCCACAGAAACATTCTTGGTCTGCTTGAACATCATTCCTACTTTCAATCCCACATCTGTGCGACAATTAATGGGAATGCCATTTACATGAACCCATAACTTAAGTTCCTCAAATTTCATATGCTTCTCAGTAAGTCCATCCTCTCATTCTGCCAAGACTAAGTATTCGTTTTCAAATACCCAATCATGACCTTTTGATTATCTGCTATGCTCCCAAAAATAAACTGGAAGAAATTGGTTTTCAGTTCTCGTACCTCCATAGGATACTGAATCTGCCAAATAGCTCTCATAGCTCTCCGGATACCTATAAAACTTGCTCTCCGATCGCCAATAATCCGATCAAATAAACTCCTCTTGCATTCCTTCGCGATGATTTTGATATCATCCTCCATAAGGTCGATAACGTGATTCTCATAAATCAATACTCTGTAATCTGCTTCCTAAATCCTCAGTATCCCCGTCGAACCCCAGGACCCCAGTCACATCGAATTCCATCAAAGCCCTTGTAAGATGCCTAATCCTAAAAAGAAAGAAAAAAACCCTAACTTTAAAAGGTATATTAAAAGAAAGGTCTGTAACAACAAATTTTATGGAAAACATAAAACTTGTTGTACAACTTAATTTTATTTCGATCAAACGATATTGCGGGTACAATCTCTATTTATCTTCTCTGATTCTTCTCTATAGATTTGGGTTTGAGATCTTGAAAGATGGATTTGACGATTGAACCTCCTTCGGGCTTGGTCTTGAATTTCTCTAACATTAATTTGGGGGTCGAATGACTTATTCTCGTATTAAATGTTAGGCCTTGACTTGATTGAAGACAACTTCTTGGAGAACTTGTTTCTTTGATCTTCTAGAAAGAGAGACTTTGACTTGAATAACGTTGACTCGAGGGCTTGATAGCTTTTTCTCGAATCAAACGCTATGTTGGTTGAACTTCTCAATGAATGGGGCTTGAATGTCGCTTGAACGTCGTTGAAATTCTTGGATTGACTTGAGATGAGTGAAAGTCGTCTCTTTACTTCTTGGAGAAGAGTCACCGCCTCTTTTTCTTCTTCTTGGCCTTCTTCTTTATTGAATGGACTTCGGACGGTTCTTCTAGAACTTCTTCAAAGCTTCAAGAGGGTTCTTGAGAGCCCTTGAATTTGAGACTTTAATCTTTGAGATGTGTTTGATATTTTTTAGGTGTTATTTGTGGCATTAACCCTATTTATAGGTGTAGGAGAGAGAGTCTTGGAAAAGAAGACATCAATTTGATTGGTCCTTCTTCATTTGGTATAAATAAAAATATTAATTTATAAAATATTAAAATTTTGATGTCTACAAGGTCTCTTCCAGGTTTGCTACCTGCCATTACGCGGGACCACCTTTCAGCTCTTCTCCTTTTTGGTTGACAATCTATGTTGGGCTGACTAAGCCCACTATCCTAATATTGATAAATCATTCTCAGTCACATCAATATTTATACATTTTCATTACAGCTCCCATATTTTATAATTTTATGAATTAAACTTGTATATTATCTTACAGTTGTTAAAACATGGATTAAAATTATTTATAGATCAATAATCTGTATAATAAAAAATTTGAAATAAATATTTATTAAGGCTTAATTGTTAATAAAATCATGACCTTTTTGAAAATTGTAATTTTATACATCACTTTTAAACTTGTCAAATATGTACATCACTTTGACCATTGTTGGCATTTCGGGTTTCGCTTGCTGACATGGTGCTGACGTGGCATTTCCGCTGACATGGTTGTTGACCTGAAATTTTTTGGTGACATGGCGGTTAAAAAATGTACACAAAGCCAAGGTTTGAACTTGAGACCTCAAAGATGCATGATAACATTATAACCCCCCACATTATAACCTCTAAGTTCTATACAAAATTTATTAGCATTTAATATATATAGCCATTAAGTATGAATAAATTCAATTAAGTTTAAAATTTTTTAATTATATTAAAAGATATATAAACTTATAATAATTAGAATACAATAAAATAAATTATATACTATTAAATAAAAAAACTAAAAATAAAGTAAGGTAGATAATATTATAGTATAGTGTATTTAAATTAAATTAAATTTAAATAAATTTTATATTTATTATTTTATATAAATTTGTAAATTAAACTAATAATAAAACTAAATTAAAAATAAACTAGATTAAAGTACACCAGTTAAAATTAAATAAAAATAATATAATATAGGATAATAAAATATAAAAATGGTAAAATAAAAATAAAATTAAATAAACATTTGTTTTTATAGTGTGGTGACATGTGCATTAATATGGTGGGTGGGAGGGATTAGTGGCACGTGAATTATAGTGGACGGGCCCCACCTATTTTGCATGTTGTGCATAAAAAAACCACAATATTCTTAATGAGAGTATAATTTTGGTTTTTTTTTTCAACCATAAGATCATCCAATTTCATGACTACGATTAATTCTCATTTATTTCAGTAAGAACTTTTCTCACTAGAACTCAACCCTATGCGTGTATATATATAAGGATTAGTTCAAATGCGGCCGTTTTTTTTTAAAGTGAGGACGTGAGACTCATTTTTAGCCACAAGATTTAGGACATCATGTGTGGCCAAGATTTACTCTTTTCTTTTTATTATTTTAATTATTTAAATATTATTTTGACCCGCTCCGGTGTTGACCGTTGACTTCCGGCGTTGACTATTGACTTCCGGCGTTGACTTTCGGTGTTGACCGTTGACAGCTAACCTTCCAACTAGGTTAGTTCTATGTAGTTGCTAGGCTAGTTCTCTATAATTGCTAGGTTAGTTGTCTGTAGTTGCTAGGTTAATTCTCTGTAGTTGTTAG